TCTGTCTCTACCATTGTTTACCCATGTAAAGAGAGGATGTGGATGGCTTTTTTTTATCCATCCACTTCAGACAGAGCATCCTCTCCACTGCATTCATCTTCCTCCCCTGGAACCAGTGAAATAAGGTCACGTCTGCTGACTTCAGGTTGGCGACTATCTTATGTGCTGGTACCTCATCCTTATCCTGGCCTGTATAAAAATGGAAGGCACATGTAGCCAAAGGCGGGGCCTGTTGACATAGTTGGCTTGTAAATCTTTAGGCCAAACCAGCCCTCTTCATCAGATTGTAAGTGATGCACTGTAGGCAACCTCTAAATTTCCACAAAAACTTATCCACCGTTATCCTCTGTGGTGGGATATATACCACCTTGAACTGATGTTTTAATAGCTCAAACAGTACGGCTAAGCTCCCACAACCTGTTCTGTACGTCCCGGACACTGTTGTTAGCAAAACGGAGGTACGTGGAAATCTGGTGATAATGATCTTGAGGCATATGCTTTTGGAAAAAAAAAAAGGGGCCTCATGGAGATTATCCTTTGACTAGTGCTGGTGCGGCTTTGGGAAGGTGCCCATCATCAGATGTATGGTGATCCATACTTGGAATTTGGGAAGTGTTACGGGCATCCATCTAGGCTCATGGTCTTTTTTAAACTCTGACTGATATTCAGAATCCTTTCTGTGAAAAAACCTTTAAGAATTCATGAGACAAATTTGATGCATCAAGGTTTACTGTCAACTTGAGTGTTGCCTTGAAGCCGTACTTCCTGGGCACATTCTTTGTCTAGCGCCACTTGAACCCATGATTACCTGGCAAATTGTGGACACAAATACAGTCTGCATACTCTGAGAGTGGTTCATTAGAGTCAATATTGATATCATGTAGATAAACAAAATAAAATTTGTCATTGGGTGAATCAGGGTTCTGTGATTTACTCAAATGCAGAGTTCGTCTTGACTGAATTTGACACTGGAATTTAACACAATGCTGCCGGGGAAAATGAACAAAAAATGGGGACAATGCTGTGCCCACTTTCTACGTTTTTCGTAAAATGTCTGCCGATAGATGGCTCTGCTAGTGCCTGATTTGAAATGGCGGGAAAAAAGGATTTTTCACTAGTGCTATGAAAATCGATGGTGTTATTTTTATCAAAAAACATTATAATTTTTATAATGTTTTTTAACATTAGTAACAGCAAAATAAGATAACGTAAAATATTTTGTAAATCAAAGAAACGGGTAAACGGGTAAACGGGCGAGACGGGCGGTACTCGTAGTTGGCTCATTGGTGATTTAGTACAAGTGTTGCCATCTATGCGTAAAAACAATCAAACAAATACTCACAGTGGGCATAGCACGTACGTACACGTCATACCCGGCACCATTGGGTTAATACAAAACCTAATAATTCACTTTCTGATTTCTCCAAATTAATTGTGAAACCTAACTGATCCAATGTGGAGGTAATGTACTTCCCATATATCAATTTATCCTTAGAATTTGCCATCACAAGGCAATCATCTGTGTAAATCATTGTCAAAATGCTTTAGGCCTGAAAATATGAAAATGGAAACTTCCATAAGTTTATAAAATGTCTTGGTGATGAGCAGAACCCCTGACATAAATAAGTAAATTGCCATAATTCTCCATTCTATGTAGATTTGAACCATTAACCCATTGCCGCCGGGGATGGCATGTACGTACATGCTATGCCCACTCTGAGTCGACTTGCTTGATTGATTTTACGCATAGATGGCTACACTTGTACTAAGTCGCCAATGAGCCAATTACGAGAACTGCCTGTCTTGCCCGTTCACCCTTTTCATCGATTTATGAAAATATTTAACGTTATCCTAATTTGATGTTAAAAATAACACCATATATTTTTATGGCACTAGTAAAAATATGTTTTTTTACCGCCAATTAAAGGAAAGGACTAGCAGAGCCATCTATGGACAGAGATATTTCACAAAAATATAAAAAATGAGTACAGCATTTTCCCCATTTTTTGTTCATTTTCCCCGGCGGCAATGGGTTAACAATCCTTCTTGCATACTGGGACTGAATAAAATGTATGTTTTAATTCAATATCTTTAAGAGTCTCCATCTTGAAAGGAAGGAATTCTACATACTCATTGAATTGTCCAAGATTAAGTATGATCCTGACACTTCCATCCTTCTTCAGCCAAGGAAAAATAATTAAATAAAAGCTTGACAAAATACTTCCAAATTTCTCATCAATATGTCCATAAAAAAAAATTCATCCATGGCTGTATTTCGGGCTTGTTTGTCATTATTAGAAAAAAATGTAATGATGTAGGAATACATCTCTGAGACTGGAGGTCTTTAAAAGAAAAATTCTTTCCCTGAATGGTATCATATATCCATGGATCACTGAATGATTCTCCCAAAGCTGAAAGGAATACTTAATTTTTCCCTCATGAAAATTATAAGGTGTGTTAACCAACCTTCAATCACTTTGGACAAATTCATCAACTTAAA